TGTGGGATTCCAACTCTCATCAGTCCCAGCCAGCATGGCCAATGGTGAGAGATGATGGGAATTGTGGTCCAGGAACATTTTGAGGGTGCCATGTTGGCTGCTTCTGCCATAGGCAAATGATGGCTGCAAGCAGTGCTTTTTTTCAGCCACAGCATGCCAGAACTCACCTCTCAGGTGGGCTCCGTTATGGGCTGGGCTCTCCCTAACAGCTTTACATACTTTACATACTTCTGAGAGGCCCCCAAATGAACATTTCAAGTCAAAACGGAAGCTGGCCAGCTTGTGCTAGTCTACACTTTTTTTTAAGATCTATGACTCCACCTAGCTCCTAGCCTCTCTGAGCTGCAATTGGTCAAGCTACGGGGTGGGGCCAATTCGTATTTCCTTTTCTTCAGTCCATCTCCAATGTAGCAGGTTTAAGCTTTCCAGCCAGGCCTCTATCATTGCACGCACACACGTTTGCATGATGACCCTTCTGAGCTGCCTTAGCCAAATGCCTGATCTAAGAGAACGAGGGAGGCCAGGGCACATGTATTTGACCTGCACCAGAACCAGGGGAGACCCCCAAAGCAGCTAGGGAGACACCTTGCTGTATTTTTTTGCTCCTCCATGGGTGATGAATGTGGCTGTTGTCAAACTGGCATCTGTTCAGGGCTGCCCCGAGTCACCCGGCGACTTACTATAACAACCTCGTGGTGAGTTCTGGCACCTACCGTATTTTTCGCCCCATAGGACGCACCGGCCCATAGGACGCACCTAGTTTTTAGGGCGGGTAATATAGAAAAAAAAATTATTCCCCCCCCCAGGTGCGAGCTTCCCCCGACCTCAGCCCCCAGAGCAGGCTGCTATCCGCAAGCCGTGGGAGAGCTGCGTGAAGTCGCGCAGCTCTCCCATGGCTAGCGGAGCGCTGCATGAAGCCCGAAGCTTGGGGTGTGCTGAGCTCAGCGCGCCCCAAGCTTCTGGGTGCCGGCAAGCTCTCCACTAGCCGTGGGAGAGTTGCATCTCCCACGGCTAGCGGAGAGCTTCCTGAAGCCTGGAGAGCGAGAGAGGTCGGTGCGCACCGACCCCCCTCACTCTCCAGGCTTCAGCGAAAGCCTGCATTCACCCCATAGGACGCACACACATTTCCCCTTCATTTTCGGAGGGGGAAAATGCGTCCTATAGGGCGAAAAATACGGTATTTTCCTTGCAAAATTGCACTGGCCGCAAGTGTAATAAAAGTAGTGTGTCTCGGAGCTCCACCAAATTCTTCTACCACCAAGTCCGCCCAGCCTGCCGAATGACAGCCAGCTCACAATGCACATGCGGGGCTGCGAGGGGGAAGCGCCGCATGTCGCCCCTGTTTTCTTCCGATGTGCTTGTTTTGTGTTTGGGTATGTGCGTATCTGAGGCCGGGCGCTCCAATGCTTTGTTGCATTATGTTAATTCCTCGGCAGTGCAATCAAATTCATGTCGTAATTAAAGCTGTCAGTTGGAAGGCAAACCAATGGCTGCGAAAACACAGCATAACAAATGAAGTGAAAGGCTTCTGCATGTAGCTATACAATGCTTCGCCAGGCATGAAATTAAATAAGTAATTTGATGTTGACATCAGAAATTGAAATGATACCCACTGTTCCTTCATTCTGTCAGACCTGCATAAACAATGGCCAGAACAAACAGGAGCAGCGCAAGTTGCTTCCCCACCCTGATCCCTCTCGTAATTCACAATATATATGCAAAAGCGGTACAGCAGGCCCACTAAGACCTGAAGGGTGTAATTTCTATGGGTTCTTGATGAGCTGCTGAATACAGGAGAGCTGCTTCTTTTGCATCCCAGGGCCAAAACACTCCTCGCTTTAAAACAGCACAATAGCCGAAAGCCTATTGAAATTCGTCTGGGTTGGATGTTATTTGTGGACTCAAAGCCTTTCTAAGATCTGTGTTTCCTGTTCTGCTTGTGGGTGCCTGAATCAACCATCGTGTGTGTGTGTGGGGGGGGAGAGTTGGTTTGTTTGTGGTTGGACGAGAAACGCCTCAATTCGCCCACAAACCAAAACACGATTATCATACGAAACCGAAGCTTCTCTGAATTTTTGCAACGCCGTTTTCCAGGCAAATGATGTGTAAAAAAAGAGGCACACGTTAAGATGAAAGTGTCCCTCAAAATACATACATTAGGGAAAAATAAAAACATAGAAAGATGCAACATATTAGTCAAAGGCTACATACAAAAAATGTGCATGTTAAGAGACGTTCACACTAAACAGCTGAAAACAACTGTCATGAAAATTTGTGAGCATGTTAGAGTGCATTTCTCCCAATATACCATATTTTTCGCCCTATAGGACGCACTTTTTCCCCTCCAAAAATGAAGGGGAAATGTGTGTGCATCCTATGGGGCAAATGCAGGCTTTCACTGAAGCCTGGAGAGCCCCACCGCCAGCCCCACAAGCTCGGTGGACATCGGGGAGGCGCAGCGCGCCTTTCCCACTGTCCCCCGACTTGGTTAGAAGGCTGGCGGAGGGCTTTTCCCTCCTCCAGCCCCGCAAGCTCCCAGAGCGATGCCAAAGCTGCACGCAGCTTCGGCATGGCTCTGGGTCCCGTTCTGGGGGCTGGGGGAGGGGGAAGCCCCAAAATCTAGGTGCGTCCTATGGGCCGGTGCGTCCTATAGGGTGAAAAATACGGTACATTTTTTTGGTGTGACTAATAGACACACTTTTTCAAGTAACTGGGAGCCAGTGTGGTTTGGGGGTTATAGCATCAGGCTAGGACCAGGGAGGCCCAGGCTCAATCCTCACTGAGCCAGGATACTCATTGAGCGACCTTAGGCAGGTTACGCTCTGTTAGCCTAACCAACCTTACTGGTTTGTTGTGAAGATAAAACAGGAAAGGGGGAGAGCTGTGTATGCCACCTTGAAAGATGGGATATAAACATAATAATATTGTTTCCCCTGACAGAATACACTTTTTGTATGCTAATTTCACTAATATGTGCATTTCTGTGCATTTTTGCACACCTTGTGGGTTGGGAAATGGCGTACCATAATTTGGATAGGTGCACAGCTGTGTTTCACTTCACGTGTTGGTTTGGGAAGCGTGAATTAGGTACTTGCTCATTAAAATGCAAACAGAATCATATTTGCACTGATGAAGCGCTACGCGCCACATAGTAAAATGTTTTCTGATCCTCTTAACACCTTAGGGCAGCTAATTGGGATCTCAACTTGCAGTGAAATGGTCCACTTCTAATGTTCTGTCCCCTTAAGTCTGATTCATGCTAGTGAGGGACAATTTGCCTTTTCGTGCCATCTCTGGGGATTCATGTGGAGAAACCTTATTGTGAACCATTGCAACCAAGCCGCCACTATTGCTTCTCTCTCTCTCTCTCTCTCTCTCTCTCTCTCTGTCTCTCTGTCTCTCTGTCTCTCTGTCTCTCTGTCTCTCTGTCTCTCTCTCCTGCTGCGATTGGAAAATGCTTCAAAGAACACCATATCCCCAAACACTTGGGAAGAGTATTCCGAACCCATTGCCAGCCTTAAATTCACCTCCCTGCAAAAATATGTAGGAAGCATTTTATCTAGTCTTCTGGCAGTTCCCTCACTGCAAGAAATGAAGTTACAGGGAACAAGGCATAGGGCCTTCTTGGCAGTGGCACCCTCCCTGTGGAATGCCCTTCCATCAGATGTCAAGGAAATAAACAGCTATCTGACTTTTAGAAAACATCTGCATTGGGACATTTTTAATGTTTTTGGGTTTACTATGTTTTTATATGTACTGTAAGCTGCCCAGAGTGGCTGGTGAAACCAGCCAGATGGGTGGGGTATAATAATAATAATAATAATAATAATAATAATAATAATAATAATAATAAATAAATAAATAGTCATACCTCAGCTCCCGAACACATTGGGAGTCAAACGTTTCAGCTCCCAAACGATTGAAAACCAGAAGTGAATGTTCTGGTTTTTGAACATTCTTTCGGAAGCCAAATGTCTGACGAGGTTCCCGTGGCTTCCGATTGGCTGCAGGAACTGCCTTGAGTGAGAAAAGCAGCTTTTGACTCTTGCTATTCTCCTTGGAATTGCCAGTGCAGCCCCAATCAAATATTTTGTGGGTTCACCTGCAGAATGGACCATTGATAGTCTATCTCTAGTAAGGGAGAGAACTCATGCCAACTCATGCTCATTTTAAATTTTCAAGCTTTCCCCCCAGATGTGAAAGTTGTGCATCCAGATTTCACACGGTAGATTCAAATTGTCTCCTAACAACTCTTGGCACCCTTAATAAACTACAACTCCCAGGATTCTTGGGGGGCTGCTGTGATGGTTTAAAGTGGTGTGGTGGTGCTTAAAATGTGCAGATGGAGCCTAGGAAAACCAACTGAGCTAACACTGGGGAATAAGTTGACAAGCAAACTCATATGTTGCAAGGGAAAGTAAAGAAAGAAGTGACATCCATTCATCCAAACCCACAGGGTCATTTTCCTTTGAATGCTGTCCGTCTAGGGATTCTCAGCCACCCCCATCTCCCACTTCCTCTTCTCTCCTGCCCGCCCCTTCCCTGCCACAAAGCTAAGTAGCTGGAGTCCAGGGCATCGGATGCCAGCATGTCATGAAGGTTGGTTGATGTGTGTCTATTTAGTCTCAGCATAGGCCGAAATGCCATCATTAATTCATTACCCAGCTGCCTGTCAAATAAATTGGCAATTACACCCACCGCTGGAGTCTGGATTTTCAGTAAATAGCACGTTACTGTCGGCGAGCTGTTGAGAAATGTAAAAAAAGGGGGTGGAGGAAAGAGTAAGGGGACGGAAGTGTGTTTGTTTCACTAGTGGTTGACAAGGGGCAAACAGTGTTGTGTTGATGAGAAACTTGATTTATTTATTTAAAAAGAGCTGGTGGTGAAAGATGCAGGTTGAAGAAGAAGAAGAAGAAGAAGAAGAAGAAGAAGAAGAAGAAGAAGAGAGGTAGAGAGGGAGAGAGAGGTCTCTGATGTATCTATTTTGTTTTCTCTTCCAGAGCTCAGCCCCATCCAGCTTGGGAACAGGCTACTTCGTAAGTGGATTTCGACTTTTTAGATGGATGTTTTGGAATGGCATAGGAGATGTCTATACACAAATTCTGAGTCAAATCATCAATGCCATAAATATAGCCACATATTCTTTCATTGAGCCTTCTGTGAGACCCTGGGGGTGGGGGTGGGGTATTTACATATCTGCGATTGATCTTGTTTACCTCTTCGATGCTCGACAGAACTGAAATAAAATTAATGGAATGGAATGTGAAGCTGATGGATTCTGGTCAACTGTTTAAGTACCTGCAGACACATGGTGGTAGAACAACAGGGCTGCAACCTCCCTAACACTTGTGAATTCAGTCTCCCAAACTCTTTTTGGGGGTCTGTGCCCCCTCTTTTGCCTGGCCCACCACTGCCCAGGTTCCTTGCTGTTTTCCCTCAGAACCACACACCACCTTTCTTATACCTCTACCCAAATGTCTATACCTTTCAGCCAGTGTCTCTGCACCATTTTGTCTCCAGCTCTGCCCCTACTTATCTGTTTGTTTGTTTTTTGGGGGGTTTTTTTGCTTCTTGTTTTACTGCCAAGAGTATCTCTTGCATATTGTCTAGCTTACCCCTCAAAACAACTTGTTCTTTCTGACCCAGCCGGAACCCGAGACACTCATCTCACTTCTCCCAAACTTTCCTGAGGGCACAAGGACGGCTTTTTTATGGTCTTGTTTCGTTTAACTGCATTAGTCTTTATAATGTTTTGACTCTGCTATTTTCGTACTAGCCAAAGCTGCCATAGCTCAAATAAGATGCTTTGGTTATAATTGTCAAGTGTGTGGATGGCAGTAGTTTTGGGCTTTTTTTATTATGCTTAACAGAATGTTGGTTTAAGTCAGTTTTCCCCCACCCCCACCAGCTTTCCCCAAACTCACTCTTTTTATTATTTTTTTTAAATGTATGTATTTTTTAAAATGTATGATTTTGCCTTGGTGGGCAATGTATGCCAGATGTGGAATGCAACAGCAGTGTGTGTGTGTGTGTGTGTGTGTGTGTGTGTGTTGGGACAATATACCAAAATGGTACACTGGGCATTCAGTTCTGGAGAACGTGGCTATTGTATTCTTCGAGTCCTGAAAAATATAAATGTGAAATGATATTATTATGAAGTCTCGCTCTTCAAAAATGTCAGCGGCGTGGGTATATCAGTGAAACCTTTGTCTGTTGTTGGCAGTGTCTTCTCAAAGGGGAATATTTAGAACTGCTTTTTTCCTTGCTGTCATATATACATGTGCACATTTTTGGGGTGGGGTGTTCAAACCCTTGGAACTGGATTGGGTGATCTCAGCACCTCATCTCTTGTGTAGCGGAAAGCAAGAGTTTTGTTCCCTATCCATACAAAACCAAGGAAACAAGCACTTGGTCTGAGCCCATTTCTAGGGCTCCTATGAAATGCTTCCCCTCCATTTTGTCCACCCCCACCCCCCATTTGCAGATGTTGAAAGTGGGAGAGGAGTAAAAAGATTTTGGGAGCACGCTTACTGTTGTTCATTGGACGTTTTCGGTGTTTTCTCTTTTAGAAAACTTTGTTTTAGAAGGGAGAGTGACCCAAAGTTAAGCAGTGAGCTTCAGGGCTGAGGGGTAGGGCCTGGGTCTTCTACTCCAGCACTATAACCACTGCACTCCTCTGCCTTTCAGTACTGTTGCAACAGTACTGTAGAACAGGCATGTCCAATGTGAGAGGAAAGGAAAGTGGAGTGTGGGGGTGTCAGTGTTCTGCATTTGGGACAAGGCTGGATAAAAGGAGCGTGCCATTCCTTCCTCCTCCATACAGAGCAGCCTGTGGCTTAATCAGCTGGGTGATACATAGAAGAAGGTGATGGAATCAACCGTGAATCCGTGCTAAGGAAAGAAAGGGTATTTTCCTGGCCACCAACAACGCCTTACCCCTCACCCCTAAAGTGAAGAAGTTGAAGAATGACAATGGGAGAGTGTGGTAGATCACTGCCAGGTTTTGATACTGTATAGTGGCCTACTTGAAGTTGGTCGTGTCTGCTGTAGAGGAAGGCAAAGCCAGGAAACCAGGCATAGCTTCAGGTTTCTGTGGTATGTAAGTAAAAGTCTACTGAAACTCTTTCTGAAGCCTTTGTCCATGTAGAGTCCACCTGCCCAGTTTATGTTCATTGGACAACACTAGCTTCTAACCTTCAATCTTCTAAGAGAACCAGGTGGGAGACAAGCAGTGTTAGGAACAAAGGGGGTATCAAGATATCATGCACTGGGAACTTGTTTTTATTTCTTCCTCTGCAAGGATCAGCCTCAGACCTAGGAACAGAAGAAACTGCCTTCTACTGAATCAGACCATTAGTCCATTTAGCTCAGTACTGTCTATGCTGATTGGTGGTGGGCTTCCAAGGTTTTGACTCTAGGAATCTCTTCCAGCCGTACCTGAATATGCATGGGACCTTGTGCATGCCAGGCAGATGTCCTACCACTGAGCTACACCCCTTCCTTACCATCCACTGGCTAAGCCAGGGGTGGGGAACCTGTGGCACTCCAGATGTTGCAAGATTACAGCTCCCATCAACCATGGGCACCAGCCATGTTTGCTGGGACTGAATGGAGACAGAATCATAAAATCATAGAACTGTAAAGATGGAAGGGATCCAAAAAGTTGTCTAGTCCAAGAGCTTCACCCGTAATGCAGGAGTCACTGCTAAAGAATCCCTGACAGATGGCTACCCAACCTCTGCTTAAAAATCTCCCTCCCGAGGGAGTCTGTTCTACTATCAAACATCTCTTACTGTCAGAAAGTTCAGTTGGAGTCTCCTTTCTTGTAATTTGAATCAATTGGTTTAGGTCCTACCCTCTAGAGCAGCAGAAAACAAGCTTGCTCAAACTTCCACGTGACAGCCCTTTAGATATTTGGAAATGGCTATTATATCTCCTCTCAGTCTTCTCTTCTTCAGGCTAAACATGCCCAACTCCCGCAACCAATTACATCCTGAGGACCACAGGTTTTCTACCCATGGGCTTAGCTATCCACTCATTTACTCATTCACTTCAACCACCTTGGGTGCTCTTCTTTTTCACCTTTACATCACTCCCATCTACAGCAATGGGACCTACCTATAGACTCTTAACTGGCTTCCTAGTCATCCCACCTTAGTTTTTGCCAAAATGTCAACAGCCTCGTTTAGACCGACTCCCTCTGTACCGTTCGTCTCCTTCACAACAACACCTCTTCCACCAACAGCCATCCATCCGTCTGTCATCAGTTACTGAGGAAAATAAACTTTTTTTAGCATCCTGGGCATGGTGCACACCTCGTGAAAACAAGATGAGGTGTCAATAGCTGCAGCTGTCACGAAATCTGCAGACCGCTCAAGCTGTCAATAACAGACAGGCTGTGTGCTAACAACGTGGCACTGTCTTTTCTTTTCCCACCCCTGCTGCCGTTCCCAAAGCATGGGCCACTTTGTGTGAGCGCAGGCAGGCTGGTTCTTTCTATCTATCCATCTCTCCTGCCTACTCTTTCCTTCCCTTCCCCCATAGGAATTTACACCTTCACTCTTGGGAGATCATGGTGCTTGGAATGGGTGGTGCAGCATCACCAATATTCACAGTGCCATTTTTGGTTCCAAATATTCAGGTGTTTTATGAAGTCAGCCTGCTTTCCTCTCCTAGTTTATTTTCTAGCTTCAGCTAGAGATAAACGGAACTGTCAGTTTCAGTACTCTTAGTTTCTCATGCTTTGAATCTTAAATTCAGTTCTCTACATTTTGTCATCTATATATACATTAAAAAACCCCCATCATTTTAGTATGAATTTCTCATAATAAAAACATTTTTATAAGGAATTTCTCCTAGTGTTATTTTCATTTTTATGCACATTACACCCTAATCTAGCCATCGCTTGTTTGGCAAACTGCATTGCAAAATTTGGATAAGTGCAGATTTTGAAGGCTAGCTGCATTTTGGTTCCCACGTGGTTTCAGAAAGGGTGGATTTGGTAGTTTGGGCTTCAAATGCAAGCCAAATCAAATTTCTCCCTCAGTTTTAGATCTCAAATTTAGTATGCGTAGTTTGCAGAGCATTGCCACCTATAACCATCCAATTCCAAATGCAGGGTGAAAGAAGTCTGCCCATCACTATGTGCACTGGGCTCCACCACACTGGCTTCCCTGTGCACATCTGAATATATGCACACCCAACATAACCCAGTCACAATTTTAAGACTTAGAAGCCCTGTTGATTTTACTAGGAGAGCTTTGCACATGCTTAAAGCTATCTGCACTATCTGCTTCTACCATCAAATGGGGGTCAGCTACCACACCCCACTTCTTCTGAGAAGAAGCCTGGAGTAGATTCTTCCAACCAAGGTCTTGTTTCAGGGCACATGGACTTGTAAACCAAATGTCGGGGTGCTGTCAGTGGCTCCCGGCTAGTTGCGTGGGAGAGTATAAAGACAAGGAAAAGTTTCTTACAGTCCTTTTTTATTTCAGTCTTTACAGAGAGAGGCTATAGAACCCAGCCTCTTGGATAATGGCACCCTGAGTGAATCTCCACCCCCTTCTCTCCCACTTCCTTATTCCTTATTCTTATCGTCTCCTCTACGGGTGCTGCTACATGTCCTCTGTCTTTGAGCTCTTTGCTCTCCTACTTTTAAGGCTCGCCAGGTTCTGGGAGATGGAGGGTCTGGAATGCTTTCTAAGGACAATGTATCAGCTGGGTGTTCTTCTGGCTCTCCCATGATTTCCTAGATTTTCCCCTCATCTGCCTCTGAGCTGCGACCTCCCTCAACCCCCTGTTGTAAATCTATACTGTCTTCTTCCTCCTCCTCCCTGGAAGGGTCAGGATGGGGAGGCAGTCTCCACCATTCCTCCTCTGCCCAGTCCCTGACCCCTAATAAGGAAGAGGTGCTTGCCAGCCTCCTTAAGCTGCCTGTGCCCCCACTCATCCTTCTTCTTTGTAGCACCCACCTCCCCCCACTTTACACTGTGGGCTTTGCTAGTCCCCTATTTGGGGGCCGAGTAGGAATTCGGTG